TTTTTAGAAAGAGAGAGCATGCAAGCCGTGGGAGGGGCAGATTCCCCACTGAGTGTGGACCCTGATGTGGGGCTTGATCCCACGACCCTGAGATCATGACCTGAGCTGAAATCAAGAGTTGGACACTTAACTGACTAAGCCACCTTGGCGCCTGGAAGAATTGATTCTTCATTGTACGGAATATCCCACATGGGATGTCCAGCGTCTCTGGTTCCTGGTCACTCAGTGCCCATGTCTCTCCCCAGGCATCCTAACAAATAAGGATGCTCCCATACATTTTCCAAACAACCTTCAAGATTAGGGTTACCCCCATTGGAAACTACTGGTTTACTTAATTAGTTTTTATTCTGAGTCACTATAAGTACTATAGAACATGAAAATGTAGAGATTTCCAGAGTGGTTTCTGAGTCCTGTATGTACTGACATGTGGAATCACTGTAGATGTCTTCATTTCCTTTTTCCATCCAAAACTATTTTTTCCCATTGTCTTTGTGTCTTAATGCAATATTTTAATGTCATTTGTCTTTCATGCTAATTTGTGCTTATTGTACATCACTGATAATGTTCAACTTTCAGAACAGAAAACATTAGAGCCAATATTGTGAAAAAAATCTTAATTACATCCCACATTGCAGTGAGGGAAGAAAATAGGAAAAAATAAATCAGGGAGGTTGTCTTTGTAAAACTGGCAGATATATTATGTGCTGTTGATGTCTAGACCAAGGTTAAAGTTTGTACAGTTTAGATAATGCCTAATGCTCTTGTGAGATTGTGAGGTTTTGCTTCAGTGTCACATGCGGTTACTTAAGAGATTGCTTTGTAAGCCTTTTCTGTGGTAAGCTTCTGTTAGGGAGCCGTATGGTAAGATGCGATGGTGATGCTGAGCAGTAAATCCTAATAATTACTGTTTTAAAAACATGGTTTTTAATATAATGGTGAAATATGAAGTAGGCTCTACGTTGGCACTATGCTATAGACCAGTTTTTTTTTTTTTTTTTTTATTTACTTATTCATGAGAGACAGAGAGAGAGAGAAAGCCAGAGGGGAAGCAGGCCCCCAAGAAGCAGGGAGCCCGATGCGGGACTCGATCCCAGGACTCCAGGATCGTGACCTGAGCCGAAGGCAGACGCTTAACCATCTGAGCCACCCAGGCGCCCTATAGACCAGTTTTAAGTGGTATGATTACTTTCTATATTTATATAGATCTAATTTGGTTTTTATTTTTATTTTTTTATTTTGTAAAGATTTTATTTATTTATTTGAGAGAGAGAGAGAAACAGTATGAGAGGGGAGAAGGTCAGAGGGAGAAGCAGGCTCCCCGCTGAGCCGGGAGCCTGATGTGGGACTCGATCCCAGAACTCCGGGATCATGACCTGAGCCGAAGGCAGTCGCTTAACCAACTGAGCCACCCAGGCGCCCATCTAATTTGGTTTTTAGATGAAAAGAATGAGTATCTTTTTCCTGAAGCAAATGGGAAGATAAGTATGTTCTCTGGTGTTTTCATGCAGTGATTTAGGAATAGCTTTAAGAAACATACTGTCTAGTTTCTAAGAGGTCTAATTTCTGAGAAATAGTAATGTAATATTAATTATGCTAAAGACCTAAAGTTGTTTTGACAGGAATTCCCCAAAATTTGGATGTTTAATTCTAAATAATGTTATCTAACAGATCAACAGGTTTGTTACCTAGGGGTACATTTTGTAGTTACTTCACTGTGGTAAGCTAGCAGGAGACTGAGATACTCAGAACATAACAAAGGAGTTGTAGATGATCACTTGTACTTACAAGTGTTGAATAAAATCTTTTTTTAAGATTTTTTTTGGTCCAGATGGTCTCAGCCTTCTTTTGCTAGGTGCCATCCTTTGTCATCTGGACACTTGCTCAGGCTTTGAACAGGGCCAGAGGGCTTTCTCAGAGACCCATTCGTACTTGTGGTTCATTCCTGCCTACATAGCCAGTCCAATGAGGGCATCTGTCAGCCTTCTCAACTATTAATACTAAATGAAAACTCTTCCACCAAAGTTGTGGTTCACCAGTCAGAAATAAAAAATATTAGCACTCTAGTTTTCTATCAGTGTGAATGATCATGAATTTGTCTGTTAAACCCACTCTCACTGAAAGATCAGATGAAGGAAAGAAAGTAAATAGCTATATCTGAGTCCATATATACCAACCTAATTTCCCAAAGGATGGCAGTAACAATCACAGGAAACTCTGTGTTAACTAAGTTATACAAGTTTCTTTCATGCAGAGCTTTTTAGCAAACTAAATTACTTCCATTCTCTAAGGGTGTGTATTATGCAGCAGTTTTCAAACTTAATTGACAATGGAAGGTATTTTTTTAAGGGATCTTACCCATGTTGATAAATTGCTAATTGCTGGTCTAAGACTAGCCCCCTAAACAATAGAAACATTTTCTTTCACAGACTTACAGTTTAATATTATGCTGTTTAGTGAGTACTGACATTGGAAGTAGCTATATGATGGCCATTATAATTGTCCAGTACGTTGATTGGCATTCTTAGAATAAACTTCTCTTGTGATTTAATACTTGGTGAAGCTGTGTTTTTCTTTTCTGTCAGATGAGAATTATATAAGCCATTATGCTTTATTTTTTGCATTGCCAAAAGGCAAGTCAAATAAATGTATGGTGATTATTGAGCTCTCATGAGTAGAATACTAAGAATTTTTACTCTCCTCTTTTGTGTTTATGTAGCTTGGTGGTGAGATCCCACCCATCTTTACTTTAGTCATCTTTAATGTAAGGATAATATCTACCATTTGTATTATTGTGAAAAATCAAATGAAATATCCTTTTTTATTTGCTTAGCGGTGTGTCTGACATACTGCAGAATGCTAAGTAAATGCTAGAGGACTATTTTTTTTTATAACTTCAACATTTTTCCATTTCTAATTTTACAGCCTTATTTCATATACATCTTCATTTTGAAGCAACTCAATCTTGTTTAGAAGTGAGTGAAGTATAAATACTAAAAAAGCAAAACGATTACAAACATCACATTAAAAGCATTGCTGTAGTGGATAAGAAGAAATGAAGTGAGGCAGTCATGGGTTCAGTTGAGGAAAGAAGTGTTGTACCCCTTGCAAACCTTGCCTTCAAGATTTGGGTTCGTAGGAAATAGCAGATAAGCCACATCTTCACCCAGGAACTCAACACCGGCAGTCTTTCTGAGCAAAATGCTGGCTTGAAACTCACAGTTTCAAAGTAGCTGCAGCATTTTTGACTTTTTAAAAAATTTATTTATTTGAGAGAGAGAGAGAGAGAGAGAGCGCGCACGCAAGCGCACGAGTCGGGGGAGGGCAGACAGACAAGCTGACTCCCCGCTGAGCTTGGAGCCAGATGTGGCGCTCCATCCCAGGACCCTGAGATCACGACCCCAGCCAAGGTCACTCACTTAACCGCCTGAGCCACCCAGGTGTCCCCAGATTTGAATTTCTGGTTGCACTTCATGTTTGTGCTATAGGTGGAAAAGAGAGAGTTCCTCCTGGAGGGATTTTATAGGGCCAGAAGTTGGGAGGCATATTTACAGTTTCTAAAGAAAGAATGTGTGTGAGTGTCAGGCATTTCGGTGATGGAACTTCCAGCTTTCAGTTGGAATAGAACGTGTCAGACATTTAGTCGAGCCTTCTCCCACTCACCAGGGTTAAATCTTAGATACTCTGCATTGTATTTCCCTATAGAGGTCATTCCCTGTGAAGGAGCCATGACATTTCTGACTCCAAGATTCAGGGAGACAGTGTCCTCCTCCCTACTGTCTGCTCTTCTCAGCGATGCAGGATTGGTGACTGGCTCGTTGGTCTTTTCAGCCACACCAGCACATAGGTAGGATTGTGGGTTAAGTGACCATATAATTTATCATCCACAGCACACTTTTCAGAATGAAAAGGGGTACTATTAATGATTAGGCCGGAACAACATAAATAAACCACAGCAGTCCTGGGCAAATGACATTTGGTCATTTTAGTTAATAACCCCTTGCTGTGTGGTCTTCAAAAACAAAAGGTTTCATATTTATTGTTATATTAGTCCCTGATACTTCTATACTCTCTAAAGCAGCACAGAAATTCAGAAGGCTATCTGCCCTGTTTTGATTTTCTTTTTTTTTTTAAGATTTTATTTATTTATTTGAGAGAGAGAGAATGAGAGATAGAGAGCACATGAAGGGGGGAGGGTCAGAGGGAGAAGCAGACTCCCCACTGAGCAGGGAGCCCGATGCGGGACTCGATCCCGGATCTCCGGGATCATGACCTGAGCCAAAGGCAGTCGCCTAATCAACTGAGCCACCCAGGCGCCCCTGTTTTGATTTTCTTGAACCATGTGTTTATTTTCTAATTTGGTGTGATATTTTCTTTTTGTATTCAAAATTACTGCCTCTTATTGAATCCTATTTAATCAGCTAAAAGATAAAAGACTATCTTATAAATTATTAAGTAAGTCATAATGATTCTTCCTTGGACTCCACCAGCTAGGTAATAACCACGGGGTAAATTGAAGGGCAGAGGTGGAGGAGAAGTGTTGATGTCCATGCCTGGTAATTGCATTCTTGGGAAAGACTAGATTCTGCATCATTAATAGTATTAGAATATTGCTTTCGTTTTCTTTTTTTTTTTT